AATCTATAACTATTGCATTAGTGTGGCGTACTGGCGTTATATTATTAGTTAGTAGGAAACATTTTCTTCTATGGTGAAGAGACTTATCTAGCATCTTTTCTTCTTCTATGTCTCACCGTTTTTCAATAATTGTTTATTCTAAAGTTTATAATAATTTCTAAAAGTTAAAGTTGATAATTGAAGGGTGGCTTTTTTATGATAATAATTATGGGCATTTGGGGATACGTGTTATGTTTTTATTTCTTTCTTTTATGGTATAATATATTTGCCACAGATTTTTGGCATATTATATATCATCTGAATAAATTTTATTCTTTGCTTTTATGTAAAAACCTTATCGCATTACACATTTTACACTATTACAACCATGCTTTTTCTTTTTCTTTTTCTTTTTTGGCTGGATGATAAACAGAAAGAAAATGATCTTTATTAAAAACGGGCTTAGTGAAAAACACCACGTGTTACAAGGTGACGTATAGGTTTTGAACCTGGCTCTTTGTGTGTTTTCTGTTTCCTCTTTATCCGACTTTTTTCTTTCATTTTATCTTTAACATCTTTTTCTGTTTTACAAATAAATTCTCTTTTTTCAAGCCAACTAATAAAAATAACCTTCTTTTTCGCTGTTTTAATCAAAGTAGTCTTTCACACTTTTGTTTCTCGTGTGAGCTCCATGCTTCGACTCAAGCGCGTGATATTAAATTGTCTGCACTCCCTTATTTCCATGCATCCTTGATTTAAGAAACTTTTACTTTAATGAGAAACCGCCTAAAAGAAACCAATCACACCCTCGCAGCTAGCGCGTGATTGCACTTTCCTTCCCTCAGTCCTTATGTAAGCAATAAATACATATTCGTTGGGAATTGGATATTCTCAACTCACTTTCATTGTTTTTTGAGTCTTATCGTGATTACAAAAACTATCGCATTTTTTGTGATTATTTACTTTTCCATAACTCTTCACATAGGAAAAATGAAAATGAATTTATGGGCAAAACTACAATCTTTAACCTGAAAAGACAATACATATAGGTCACGTTAGTTTAATCCAAATTGTCCTTGCTTTATCCAAAACAGATGAGTAAGTACCAGATATTGGTACGAGTGTTTTGACGTTTTGGGCATGTACAGCAATGTGGACCAAACTTAGGTTCGTTTAATAAATCAGCAATTAGTTTTCATGACAATATTCATACATGGTCCATATCTAAGCTAGCTAGGGACAAGCATCACAGATCCACATAAGGTTGATTTAATGTTTTTATAGGGATTGTTAAAATGGAATTAATGACTTAATTGTGTTACCCAAGACCAAACAAATCGCATAAGGCTGCATTTAGTTTTCTTCGTTGACTTTCTATTTCTGTTTGGTGTTATTAATTATGACAAACCTTCGCACATGTACGTATGTATATATACGCACATGGTATGTATATTCTGGTGAAGCCACCCATAGGTAGAGTAAGAAGGCAATAATAAGATAGGGAATGAAAAGACACATATATATAGTTTATACTGAAAAATATAAGAAAATAAGTAGTTTGTTGCGCACGATGGCATATATTTAGTACTATCAGATCTAATTTGTTAATTTAGTGGGTATTAAGTTCTTTGTCTCCACGAACCATATGCTTCATATTCAATCTTTCTTTGTATCATTATCTTTGTGGAAAAGTCCCATTTTATTGGACCAACCATCCACATGACCATTCAATCTATTCCATGAATATATCTATGTATATATACACATATGTGTGCATGTATGTGATTTTCCATGGCTGGAAAGCTTATAATCACATGATCTACTAAGCAAAAATATATGCTATATAATCATCAGAAAAAGGTTAGATATTGCTTTCTACGTCAAAGCATAACAGTGAACTCCACTTGCCCTAACTTATTGATCAATTTGAAAGAAAAGAACAACAGAAATTAAATTTTATTTTCCAAAAGTTGGCTCTTGACACTTGATGATAACACTTGTCGAGTACTTCACTATGCATTGTTCATTTATTTATTGACTTCCTCTAACTTCTGTTCCCCGAAATTAAATTTCAATTCTGTTGATAATCCACTAGATAAGTAAGAAAAGAAAAAGCTTTAACACCTGTTAGGAACTAATAACTAGTCGGCTTATTTTGCATAAGCTTTATCGTATAGAAAAGTTGAATTCAATACTATATAGAGTATTTGATGCTCAGGCTTTGGCATTTTATTTGTTTTTGGAATCAATGAAGAAGCTAAAATCAAGAACGTCTTTAGTGGCGACCTTATGCTTTCTTGGGTGGACTCTCTCGCCTCTCCACTTTGATTGGTCTGCTTTACTGCAAATCTGATCTCCATTACCTATTAATTTAAAGATAAAATACTTTGTTAGATTAGTTAAGGGGGGTCCAATATAGTGTCAAAACCTCTTTAAATATACTTTGTTTGGTCGGTCCAGAGAAGGCTATTGGTTGATTCGCCGTCACCTCGGTTTGGTCCAATGCCACTTTGAATTGTCTTTTGCTTTTAATTATATTTAGGACATTTAATTAATTACTCACTGGCCAATTAACTTTCTTCAATTTGGATGATAAGTTGAGTGGCTTAATTTCATTAATATAAAGTTCAAGAGATAAAGAAATAAGGTAGTTGATTGGTTGATTAATTAATTGACCATCCTGCATCTTTTGGATTTTATATATTTATTATCCAATTAGCGAGTCATAGATATTTGTTATGCACTAGTGGTTAGACACGAAAACAATTCTATTTTCTTAATTTAATTTATCTAAGCTGATCGAGATTTTATGACCAATGCAGGTGTCTGTCAGGTAGACAGCGTAACGGAACGGGAAAGGCCAAACGTGAGACAAACGCTGGCTGTTGCTTACGATACATTGCTAGCTCCAAACGTCAAAACCTGCATCGACGCGTCACCTTCTCCTGGAGAGAACGCACGTTTTGTAAAAACGCGAAAAAACGCACGTGGAATAATGTCCGGTCTCGCAACATGGTTCAGCCAACTCTCCATTCTCCTCCATAGACTTATAAAAGAACGACGCCACGAATCTTTCGATGCACTTAGAGTATTCCAAGTTCTCGCGGCTTCACTGCTCTGTGGTCTCATGTGGTGGCACTCTGATTATCGAGACGTACATGTAAGTATATAAACGTTAATGTTAAAAAACTCTATTTATTTGTTTTTTTTGGCATTTTCTTTAACGATAATGTTGTTACAGGACCGACTAGGACTACTATTCTTCATATCAATATTTTGGGGTGTGCTTCCGTCATTTAACGCTGTCTTCACGTTTCCACAAGAACGTGCGATTTTCACTCGAGAACGAGCGTCTGGTATGTACACACTCTCATCTTACTTCATGGCTCACGTCATCGGATCGCTCTCCATGGAACTCGTTCTCCCGGCAGCGTTCTTGACACTAACTTACTGGATGGTCGGTCTACGTCCAGGGCTAGTCCCATTCCTCCTCACCCTTTCCGTGCTACTACTATACGTTTTAGCCTCACAAGGACTCGGACTTGCACTAGGAGCAGCCATCATGGATGCTAAAAAAGCCTCCACGATCGTGACCGTGACAATGTTAGCGTTTGTCTTAACCGGCGGTTACTACGTCAACAAAGTGCCATCCGGAATGGTGTGGATGAAATACGTTTCCACAACGTTTTATTGTTACCGTCTATTAATAGCGGTTCAGTACGGAAATGGCGATGAGATATTGGCGATGGTTGGATGTGAGCCAAAGAGGACACAAGGAGCGGCGACTACAGCTGGGTGCCGGTTCATGGAGGAGGAAGTGATTGGAGACATTGGACTCTGGACGAGCGTGAGCGTTTTGTTTTTCATGTTTGTTGGTTATAGAGTATTGGCGTATTTGGCTTTGAGGCGTATTAAACTATAAAATGAGAGGTGAGAGGGTAAATTATTTTTAATAAATAATGAGTGGGTATAAATTAATTTCTAGGCTTTATAATTTCTAGTTATCTTAGTTTGTTCGATTTTTCTTTTTAACATGTGAAAACAAAAATGACTTGTTCTTTTAGTTGATTTATAATAAAATTGTATATTTCCATCTATTACATTGTTGACGAGTTCAATCTTGTGTATAGGCCGGTTAACGAGTTCACTTGTGTATGGCCCATGGACTTGTTGTCGAAGGCTTAATGTTTCAATGGCCTTGAGGGCCTTAATCTAATGAAACTCCAAACGTATTTTTTGGACCCAGAGCTTTACTTAACTATGGATCATATATAGATTAGGCATATATAAATACATATAGATTAATGTTTATCTTTTTAGGTCAAACATATAGATTAATTTTTTTATAAAAACTGAAAAGAGAGTGGGGCGTGTGCCACACATTTCCCAACTGCGTCCGGCCCTGTACAACACCTAATTCAAAGTCTTCTGCTTATTTTCTATGTTTTCATTTCTGTGACATGGTTGTTTATATAAAATTTTAGTTTCCAACTACGCAGACTTTGAGTTCATCCAGGGGGGATTTTTTTATTAGAAACAATAATTAATAATTAAATTACAATAAGTACTTTCACAATGTTGGTGATTATTTAAGTTTATCATTTTTGATGTAATAAACAAATAATAATATAATAATGGTAATAATTTCTGAATATAAAAAAGAATACTAAAATAAGATATGTCTATATATATATTGAAATTTAAGAGATTTATGTAAAAGCACTTTGTTTAATACGAAATTAATATCTACTTTGTTAAATTATCTATTGAAAATTCATATTTTTTTGTCAACATTGAACATTCGTATTACTATTTGAAAATTATGGATGAAGACGTGCTAATATTTTGGATTAGTAAACGAGAGAGACAAATAAAATAATTGGTTGAATCATGGATGAATATGCCACCAGTATAATCATTTGTGGCCGTCCTTGTGAGTAAGTTTAAAAATTGATATAACGCGTATATCACATTTTCTCCCCATAGTCGTCGTTGTCTTATCGCTCCTTGCTCCGATCATCATGGCTGAATCTAGCAAATCATCATCGTCCGAAGCTAACGTTCACATCATCTACACCGAGAAGCCTACCAATGAGGAACCTAAAGACTTTCATCTACGTACACTCTCCTCCGTACTTGGCTGGTCTGTAACATTTACTAAATGTGTCATTAGTAGCTTAAATGTGATTGCATATAAGATATGATTATGTTTTGTTAATTTTGGCTATTCAACAGTGACAAAGCTGCAAAGGACGCTCTGGTTTACAGCTACAAGGATGCTGCCTCTGGCTTCTCAGCTAAGCTCACCGCTGAGCAAGTTGCCAAGATCTCTAGTACGTTTCTTAAACTATGACATCATATGCACATATCTCAAACAAGTAGAAGTATAATCATGCAGCCATGATAGTTCATTTTCAGAGTATGTAGGCAAAAAAAAAAACATGTTTAAGGGTTCTAACTTGACCAATGTTTTTTTTTTCTTGCTCTTGTTCTGTTTTTTTTTTTTTTTTT